CAGAGCCGGAAGCTCCCAGACTACATCCAGATCGCCATCGCCGGCGAGGCCAGGAGCAGGCTCCCCCTGGAGTGGTGGAAGACGGGCGTGGCCCTGGTGTACGCGCTCTTTAGCCTGGTGCTGACCGCCGTCATGATCACCGTGGTACACGAGCGCGTGCCCCCCAAGGAGCTCAGCCCCCCGCTGCCCGACAAGTTCTTCGAAGCCGGAAGCTCCCAGACTACATCCAGATCGCCATCGCCGGCGAGGCCAGGAGCAGGCTCCCCCTGGAGTGGTGGAAGACGGGCGTGGCCCTGGTGTACGCGCTCTTTAGCCTGGTGCTGACCGCCGTCATGATCACCGTGGTACACGAGCGCGTGCCCCCCAAGGAGCTCAGCCCCCCGCTGCCCGACAAGTTCTTCGACTATATCGACCGCGTGAAGTGGGCGTTTTTTGTGTCCGAAGTGAACGGGATTGTACTGCTGGGGCTGTGGGTCACCCAGTGGCTGTTTCTGAGATACAAGTAAGTACGTCTGTTTTGGCTTTGCGGTTTGTCGTTGGTTTTTGTTTGGTTCTGTTGAGGCAGCGTCTCAAACTCGAGGTGATCCTCCCAGTGCAGCCTCCTGAGTGCTGGGATTACAAGTGTGAGCCACCATGCCTGGCCCGATTATTTTTAAATGACTAGATGTGTAACTCGAAATCCGCTTTCTGAGGGTTTTCTAACAGCTGCGCAGTCTTCTCTAGACCTGTGCTGCGGGGCAGGTGTAGCTGACTTTGGGTAGCTGCGGCCACCAGGGACCGCGTCCTGGGCGCACTCAGAGTTGAGGACTTGAGGTGCCATCCTGACGTCCTGCAGCCGGGCCAGTGCTGCAGGCGGAAGGGTCCCCGCTGTGTGTTCATTCCAGGCACTCGGAAGGTGGGGGACCTCTCCTGGCAGGGTGACTGCAGGGTCCTGCCCCGGGCGCTGCCCCTGCCTGGACTGGCTCTCAGGTTTGATTCTTTTCCTCCTGTTGGCTGCCTGGCCCCGTTGCTATCTCAAGGGAACTTGGTTCCCATCCCACTTCCTGATTCCTGAGCCCCACCCCCACCCCAGTGTGCGGACAGTGGGAGCCTGGGAGCAGCCAGCCACACTGGGGCATCGCGGATCACGCGGTCACTTTTGCTTTGCTGGCATACCGGGCTGTGCAGAGCAGCTCTCCCATCCCCTCAGCCACTGTCCAGGTGCCTGCTTTCCTCTGTGACTCCAGGATGAAACCACTAAAATGGGACTGTGATCAAAATACCTCATAAAGCACAGCACCCATCACCCGGGGCTAAAAAATATGATGTGTGCTAATATGGAAATCGGGCTTGAAAAATGTGAGATCAAACACCATCACGTGGCGTGGTGGGCACACCTGTAACGCCAGCACTCAGGAGGCTGAGGCAGAAAGATCACCAAGAGTTCAAAGCCAGCCTACGCTACATAATGAGATCTTGTCTCAAAAAGCTGGAATAAACAACCAAACGACACAATCAGGGCTTAATGGGATTATTCTTCCTGTACAAGAGAAAATGTACGTTGCCCCGTTTTCCAGTGGGTCATTGCCTGTGACCAGGGGATCCCCCTGGTCCCTGCGTCAGACCCTCTAGGTCTAGGTTGGAAAGCTCAGTCTGCAGGCCAACCACAGCCCACCTCCCGTCCCCTTCCAGGGTGTGCGCTTTGTGTGAAAAGCACGAAGGGTCGGAAGTTAGCAGCGTTCCTGGCGCCTGGAGTCCACACTGAATACAGGCGGCCCCTGCGTGGGCCTAGACTAGACGTTTGTTTTTTTCCTGAATTTCCAGAGTTTTCTCACATCTGTGAGAAGAGACATCCCAGGGTGTGGGAGGTCCTGGGTGGGACCCACGTCCGTGTCACAGATGCCTCCCAGAGCATCTCGGGGTCGCCAGAACTCAGGGGCCACGCACGGCAGTGACGCTGTCTGTTTCCACCGCACAGACTATAGCCTTTGCTCTGTGAAACAGCATCGGGCTGCATGGCCCAGAAATGGGGACAACTCCTGACCTCTCGGACGTGGGATGCCGGGAAAGCCTCTCCCTGCTCCTCCCCGCTCCTCGCTGCCCTGTCTCTCTCTGTCTGCCTGCCTGTTTCTCTAACTCTCCTGTCTCTGTCTCTCTCTCAGAAACACATTTCAAAGCTATGGGAAAAGAGAAATCCTTAGCGGTATTCTTTCTAAATAAGGCCGCGGGGCACCCCTGTGTTGGTCTTCTGTGTGTGGAGTCGGACAGTTCCTGCTCCTGTCTGACCTCAACAGTCAGGGCCTGGGCTTGAGTCACCGATGAATAGGGAAGGACAGACCCTGCTCTGTTGTTCCGGCTCTCTTCTGCGCTGGAAAAAGCAGACAGGCCGGGTGTAGTGGTTCACACCTGTAATCCCGGCACTCAGGAGGGTCACTGTGACTCTGAGGCCAGCCTGGGCTCCCTAGTGAATTAGGGGCAAGTTTTAAAAATAAAAAAGGAAGGGGTAGTCAGTGCAGCCGGCTTTAGAATAAAGACGTACTTTCATCTACCAGACTGGTTATATTTATTTTTACTTTTTGGATCCCAGAAACCTTGGAATTGTCTTAAAATAGCTATTGGTGACAGAGAGCTATGTCTTTGTATATAATTTTTAAAATTAGAAGCCCCACCAGGTACCCGAATGAGACTCTGACCCGTGTGGGAACCGCAGGCTCCAGAGCCCTGAGGCCACCCTGCCCTGCAACATCCTCACGTGGGCGGTGGAGTCCCCAGCAGCCGGCCTGGTTCCCAAACCCCACAGAAGGGCGTGGCCTGGGTGGAGGGGACACTGGGCCAATGCACCGGGCCACACTGTGGGCGGGGCCTCAGGAGCTGTCATGCCACTGCCCAGAACATAGAAAGGGTCTTGTGGGATTTTCTTCTTTTCTGGTCTATTTCTTGACCAAGTGCTTTAATTTTTTAAATTTATTTTTAATTGATGCCCAAAACATACAAATTACACTTTTTGCTTTGAGACAAGACCTAGCTATGTAGCCCAGGCCGGCCTCCAAATCCAGCAGTCCTCCTGCCTCAGCCTCCTAGTGCTGGGATCACAGACTGGCCCGCCATCCTGGCTCGTTTGTTGTTTTTAATTGGTCCCTGTTTGTCTGCATGATGATGTGCCCCGGGTAGGGCGCTGGGTGCATAGTACTGTCCCTCACACCTCTCTGTGGTGCTCATGTGAGTGCCGCCCTCCCTGCCTTCCTGCCCCACCCCCGCCACACTGGCCCTGGTGACCCCGACCCACTCAGTCCCCTGCGAGCTGTGGGAGAACCTCTGGGCCTGGACACCTTGCTGGGTGGCGTGGGCGTGGCCGGCCAGCACCTGGCTGTCCTGTCCGCAGGGCCCTTCCGCAGGTGCCCGCGGGGTGCTCAGCTGTCTGCGTTAGGCACAGGGCAGCTGGCGACCATGTCCCCCGCCCTGTCCCCTCCAGGTCCATCGTGGGGCGCAGGTTCTTCTTCCTGCTGGGGACGCTGTACCTGTACCGCTGCATTACCATGTATGTGACCACGCTGCCCGTGCCCGGGATGCACATCCAGTGTGCCCCCAAGGTAAGGCGGCCCCTCCTCACCCCGCTGCTCCTCTCTGAATTGCAAGGTGGGGAAGAAACCAAAATGTATTTCTTAAGATGTATATCTCTGTTTATAAACATGTCTTCTGTTAACTGAAGACGGCCACTGTGCCGCTGTCTGTTGAGACAGGGTCTCGCCATGCAGCCCAGACTGGCCTCAAGCTCACGGTGATCCTCCTGCCTCAGCCTTCTGAGTGCTGGGATGATAGGGGTGCACCGTGACAGGGGGGACTCTTCCTTTTCCCCTTCTCTTTATATTTCATTCACACATTCGTTCTACAAGTGTTGCGCGAGCCTATGTCCCAGGCAGTGAGTGACCAAAGTCCCCCAGGGAGCTTACGTCCCCTAAGGGCCGGTGAGGGATGAACCCAGACGATGGGGGGTGGTTCGGGAAGAACAGCGCAGAGACCCTCCTCGCGGGAGGAAGGGGCCACTGCAATGGGAGGACAGTGCAGGCCAAGAGAACAGCGGGGAACACTGGGTTCAAGGGAGACCGGGGAGGCTGCACACAGTGATGCATGCTCATCACCCAAGCACTCAGGAGGCCGAGGCAGGAGGGTTGCCAGCCTGGGCTGCAGGGTGAGTTCAAGTCCTGCTGTAAAATCATTGAATTCCAGACACATTTTGAAGGTGAGACCCCACAGAGAGCGCTGCTAGGGCGGGTGCGGTCTTGAGACAGAGAGGTTAAGGGAACCCCAGAGTTTTTAACTCTGGGGCAGCGACCATGGCCTTAGCTGAGCTGTGGCAGAGGCTGAGCCCCGAGCAGGTATCGATTTCTCCAGAGAGAGCAAGCGTAGGGGCATGAGGGCGGGGTGTGAGCCCGACACCACATTTCACCGGGCCCCCAGCAGATGGGGAACCAGCCAACAGGGCTGAGCCATGCCCCCTTGCCAAACACAGGTGTGGGGGAGCAGCTGTGGTTTCCCGGAGCCTTCAAAGCGGGCCTGTCCATAATTCCAACTGTGTCCGCTTGAAGGTAAACACCAGCCAATTCTTAGAGAAGCTAATTTAAAGCAGGGAGGAGATAGAGGCATAATAATACAGCCATCCCAGAGGTCGGGCCAGCTGGGATGTGGGTGAGCCCGTCATACAGCCCGCAGAGGACCTGCCTTCCTTCAAGACTGGCAGCTTTCCGAAGCCACCTGTTAACTGTGCAGCGGGACAAGCAGGCCACAGCACTCAGGAGCCACACTTGGTGGCATCCCCATTGGTGGGCAACCGTGTCCCCATCACAAGCTGGTGGCAGAGCCTGGACCCGGCCAGGAAAGGAGCACAAACCCCTCTGAGGGGCCGATCAGGGTTACAGTGGGTGAGCGGGGGAGGCTGAGGCTGGTGGGTTCCTGCTCAGAACCTGCTCGTGGAGCCCGGCCGGTGCACGGGGACAGCGGGGCAGGCACTGTCCCTGCTGTGGGCATGCGGTGCTTGGCAGAGTGTGCGCCTTGCTCTTGGAGCTCGGTGTTCTGGACGTTGCACCCGGCCCTGGCTTCCCCCATCCGGCCACGGTGCAGGCTGTCCGCCCCCACTCCTGTGCCACGTGTCAGCAGCCCACAGACTTCTGCCGCTTGTGATGTTTCTGTGAAGTCTCCACTCCTCATCCCGCCCCTGATCCTGCTCTGTCATTTTCTGTACAACACTTCGTTCTTTCCCATTGTTTTGTTTTTGTTTGTTTTTGGAGACAGGGTCTTGCTGTGTAGCACAGGTTGGCCTCGAACCATGATAGTCCTCCTGCCTCAGCCTCCTGAGTGCTGGATCACAGGCAGGGCGTCCATTTTTGGCCATTGCCCTGGCCCACCGCTGTCCCCTCATTCCCGCAGTGGCTTCTAGCAGCTTTTGTCCCCTTGACCGCGGTCCCTCTCCCGGCCTCTGCTGCAGCACTCAGGCCTCAGCAGGTGTTTCCCCATTAAAGCTACTGCTTTGAAAGCTGCCCGTGCACTCCCAATCCGCCACTTTCAAACCTACTTAAATTATTTAATTAGCTGCAGCCCCGCTTTATGACGGGGGCTTTCCGACCGCACATTACGCCAGCAGGGCGCAGGGAGGTGGCCCGGCACATGGGTACGGGTGGTGCGGGCTGTGTCTCCCTCAGTCCCTGATGCGGAACCCACACTTCCCCGCGGAGAGGAGGGGCTGCTGCGGTGGGCTCCGGGCCTGGCCGAGGTGAGCTCACTGGTTATCAGCACTCCTAAGGGCTCTGCCCAAGGGCACAGCAGCACTGAAAGGTCTCGCCAGCCGTGAAGCGAATAACTCAAAGCTGTGTGGATGGGCGTGAGCGGGGGGAGCCGGCGGAGGGGCTGGCCCTGGGCCCCCTTTACCTCCCTCTCCCGGGGCGCGCCTGACCTGTCCTCCTCTCCGCCTCCAGCTGAACGGGGACTCGCAGGCCAAGGTACAGCGGATCCTGCGGCTGATCTCGGGCGGCGGGCTGTCCATCACCGGCTCGCACGCGCTGTGCGGGGACTTCCTCTTCAGCGGCCACACGGTGACCATGACGCTGCTGTACCTGTTCATCAAGGAGTGTGAGTGGGGCTGCTGCGCGGGCG